CTACAGCATATCCCCAAACCCTAAACCCTAATCTATGGCTTCAGGATGAGGTTCGAGGTTTGAGAGCTGAGAGGTTCAGGTTGTGGGATCTAGAAGCCAACAACCCCAAACTCTGTAAGCCCTAACAGAAGCACCATCCAAAAGCCGAGTCGCGGCATCGCTGTCAGCAAAGAAAGCCGCGTCTGGTGGGGCTCGATGAGAGCCCTTAGATCTCCACCGGCTAAAGAGCAATGTGGCAGAGGGTTTGTCAATAAAGTTCCGTTGAAAGGCTTCCTTTAAAGGAACCTTATAAGGTACCCCTTAAAGGAACCTGAAGGGTTCCCTTAAAGGTGTCTACAATGGCTTGCTGATTTGGGGTATTCGAAATCGGGGTATTCGGTACTCTGATGGAGGGCCTTAGGGCTTTAGGGGGGGCAGCGTTTCGGGTTTCAGAGAGCGGCATTGAGGGCGGGCTTTTGGAATTCGGGCCCAGGGTGCTTTAGAGGGGCTTTAGGGCTTTAGGCAAAAAAACGGAGCATTCACACAGCTGCGCGTGCGCATCTGGAACCAGTCTATTACGCTGCCGGATAAGATCCCTCAACCCTACAAATGCCTAACGCCCTATATCCCACCGAAGCCTGAACCCCCAAGCCCAACTTAAGCCACAACACCCGGCACCTGAACCCTCAATCCTGTAGCCCAACAAACCCTATAAGCCCTATAAACCGTAACCCTATTAAACCCTGTAGACCCTACAAGCCCTGTGCCCGACTAACCCTTTAGACCCTATAAGCCAGAAAATCCTTGAAACCCTATGCTATATACCCTCAAAACCCTATAAGCCCTATAAACCCTAAACCCCATACCCTCAAGACCCTATAGTTAAGCCCCACAAATCCTGGACCCTAGACTCTATAGAACCATACCCTATAAACCCTATAAAGCCTAAGCCTAAGCCCTGAAGAGATGCTTGGAACTCGGCCACTTGCACCAAGCTTGGCCCGCGAGCCTGCAATCGGTAAAAAGGCTTGAACTCTCGAGCACTTTCGCCTTCTATACTTCTTACCCCAAGGGTCCAAGTACCCAATAGTCATATACTCCCCAACATCCTAACCTACATAGCTACTACCCTAAAACCGAATACCTAAGTATTGGGTCCTTTGGACCCTTGGGGTTGGGGCTTCTAGCGAAGTGGGTTTTCATTGCTGCTCCTACGGCTGTTGGGTCGTTTTCTGGGCAGAAAGAACTTTGCAGCTGCCGATTCCATGAACTTCGTCTAGTTGCTACCATGCACGAATACAATGAATACAATCACCCAAAGGGTCCTATATACTGTTATGGGGGATACTTCCCTGGATCATAATAGTAATTCCTAATATAGAAACCGTACATTCTACTATATAGGTACATAGGACACTTTGGGTCATGAAGGATACTGACAGGGCGTTCTTACTCCCCCACAGACCCCTCCACTACACTGCACAGTAACTGACTGCAAAGTCTGCTTGGTGGGCTTGCAGGCACAAGAGGCTGCAGGGCATATTATTCATAATGGCTCCCTAGTGTACTTATGATATGGCATATCAATTATGCTACTATACTCAAAGAACCTCGCTCTGATATTGAGGCCTGTATACCACTTACCAAGTAGCTTCTTGAACCGAAGGGTTTGCAGGCTCCGTATTTCAGGGTATGGGTTTTGGGTTCGTTTCGGGGTTCGTGTACGGTTTAGTTCAGGCTTGGGGTTAGACTTCGGTTCAGATTTTAGCGGGGTTTCGGGCTCCGTGCTTTGCGCCCAGGGTTTGGGGTTTGGGGATGCAATCCGCCGACCCCGCTGTCGGCATCTGGAGGGCCCTTCGTGCCTTCTCTCTCCAACCCCACCAGCTCTCCTCCCCCCTCTCTGTTTGCGTTCCCTTTAGCATGCCTTGGAGAGAGTCTGTTACAATCTTCAAGCTCTTGGAAAGCTTTGCCACTGCCCTGGAAGGACCGAAACTGAAACCTTAAGTCCTGGCAGAATCACCAGGAATAGCTAGGTGGCCTAAACCCCAAGGAAGGGTGCTGCTCGAGTAAATCCCCTGGGTACTCTTCCTAAGTCTTCAATTTGACTTCCTAGCCTTTGGGCCCCCTGGGGTTCAGGGCATATGGCGTATAATACCGGGTTTCGGGTTTTGAGTTGAGGGTTTGGGGCTCATAGGGTTTATGGTTTAGGGCTTATAATAGCCAGGGTTCATTATGTGGCTTAGAGGCTTTACTTGAAAGTGACCCTAAACCCTAAATCCTTCTTATTGTCACTTTCATGTTTCCTCCACAAGAAGACGGAAACCCTAAATCCTAAACCCTAAATGCTAAATCCTAAACCCTAAACCCAAACCCTAAGTCCTGAACCCTAAACCCTGAACCCATAAACCCCCAAACCCTAAATCCTAAACCCCAAGCAATAAAACATCCCAAAACCCGCCTCCAGAGCTGCAGCCGGCAACGCCAACACGAGGAGCGAGCCGAAGACCTCATCTTATCTTCCCAAAGGGTCCAACGGTTGATGTCCCTAGCAGAAGCCCTGGCACCCATACTGTTGAGATACCTTATTCAGGGGTCCTTATAATATAAGAATCCTACTATTTGGGGTACTATATTTTCGGAAACTCCCATATAAATCCTGCATTACCCTAAGGACCCTAAACTATGGGAATTATGGTATATTACTTATTATGGGTCATGCAGGATTTATACCATCAACCGAAGTACCTAATCTAATAATCATATGGGTGGTTGTCAAAATTGGGGTCCACTGTTGGGTCCTTATTATCATACGGCACCTATTATTTAGGGTACCCAAAAAGGGATCCTAATTTTGTCAACTACCCACATACTCTCCCAAATATGAACCTACATAACTATATACTATCCTAAACCCAAGTACCTGATTATTGGGGCCGAAGACCCCATCACACCTTCCCAAAGGGTCCTAGACTTCTCGGGGTTTAGGCCCTTAGTGCTTTGGGGCTTAAGGCTTAGGGGTTTAGGTTTTAGGGGTTTAGGGTTTAGGGGGGTATCCGAGATACTTTCCCAAATCAAACTAGTATTTCCTAATATAGTAACCCTACAGTCTACCATATATAGGTACTTAGGACCCTTTGGGTTTTCATACATAGCCCAGGCGTTTGGGGTTTAGGGCTCAGGGTTTGTGATAAACCACTGATGTGCTGAGGTGAGCAACGTTTCTGGCGGTGACCAGCTGCACTAGTCCGTCTAGACGATAGCCCAAATATGCCCAAATAACTAACTCTTGGCGTGCGATCCCTTCAGGAAACGACTATAAGCCCACCAATCGAAGAGTACTCGCCGAACAAGGCTTCACAATCAAAGAGTAATTACATGATTTGATCCAGGACGCGCTGCACGAATCGAGGAAACATCTAGCTGGATTCGGGAAGCTAGATTGGCACACAAGATGATGTTGGTGAGGGCAGCGACGATAAACATCGGCGATGTTGAGGACGCTGGTTTGCTCTGCACACGATTCCTGTTGGCACGCATACCCAAGATTCACGCGTTGAAGACTGCGCAGTAAACTCGGCAACTTCGTAAGCTTCTACATCGTGTGTGCGAGGCCGAGGGAGCTGAGCACAGTAAAGGTAGTTAATTATTATAGCTTGTATTTTGGTATATTCTAGTATATTTATCGTATGTTATGGTATATTACGGTATAGTGCATCGTATGCTATTATGCAATTAAACAATGATGTTGCAGGATCGTTTAGGTTGCACGAACATGCCTTCAACCCCGGCCCCGGCACACGCACGCGCACGCACGCACACGCACACGCACACGCACACGCACACGCACACGCACACGCACACGCACACGCACACGCACACGCACACGCACACGCACACGCACACGCACACGCACACGCACACGCACACGCACACGCACACACGCACACGCACACGCACACGCACACGCACACGCACACGCACACGCACACGCACACGCACACGCACACGCACACGCACACGCACACGCACACGCACACGCACACGCACACGCACACGCACACGCACGCACACACACACACACAGACACACACACACACACACACACACGCACGCACGCACACCCACATCCGGACTGTCAGCCACATTTCCCGTCTTCTCAGGCACCGGGCCATCGTATGTCTGTATCTCTGATGCGCCATGGTGTTTCGCTACCAGGATCCACTTGGCTGAGCCGAAAGCATCCGGATGAGGGCGTGATTGAGGGGTGATGCGCTTGCCCTGTTAGCTGCTTTATCTAAGCATAGCGTGGGGTTCGGGCAAGGGAGGTTTCAGCAGCGGCGTGGACAGTCTTAAAGGTTTGAAATGTTGGGGCTATGCCGGCTATGCCTCAGGGCGAGAGAACCGATGGCCAGTGGTTGTGCCAGCAAGAGTGTCGTTCTGTTCGTAAGAGAATATCGGTCGATGCGACGATACTGCGTAGGCCTTCTCCGAAAACGAATGGCAGTTCTAGAATCATCCACGCTGCAACATGGCCGAGATCATTGCATCGAAAGTTGCACGGGAGGCACGCTACATTATCAGCTCTAAAACCATCAACATGCAACAGCAGAAGCCTGTGTTCTGCCAAGCCCTAGTGGTTCGCAGTACCATACCATATCAAATCATGTCATACCATATCATTTCAGATTGTACCGTGTCACGGTATGCTAAGCAGGCCCGACTCTCTGACATGTCATGACAAGGGCGACCTGGTACTGATCTGGAAGTCGTCGAAGACGATCGACTCTAAATGAAGGCACATGAACGAAGGTATAATCAGAACCACAAAAAGTCGATCACTGCACCTGCTTTTGCAGTCGATGCTTCGAGGCTGTAGGTCAGTGAGACAGAGGCCTTCGGGATCCGTGTCTAAGAGGAACGAAGCACGGCGCCAAGGGCATGAACTCATCTGCAGCGGAGAGGCCTCCCCTGATGTTTAAGGAGAATGTGTTGATTTTCGGATGTCACACACACACAAAGATTTAGTAGCGGTAGGTGTCGGGCTTGAAGGGGCCCTCGACAGGCACGCCGATGTAGTCCGCCTGCTCCTTGCTCAGCTTGGTCATGCTGGCGCCGAGGGATGGCAAGTGGAGGGCGGCCACTTTCTCGTCCAACTTCTTGGGCAGCAGGTACACGTCATTCTTGTACTTCTTGGCCTTGGTGCAGTTCTCCAAGATATCCAGCTGGGCCAGAACCTGATTGGTGAAGGAGCAAGACATCACGAAGGAGGGGTGGCCGGTGGCACAGCCGAGGTTCACCAGGCGGCCGGAGGCCAGCACGATGACACCGTGGCCGTCGGGGAACACGAAGCGATCGACCTGCGGCTTGATGTTCTCCACCTTGATGCCAGGGCACTGCTCCAGATCCTCCATGGCAATCTCGTTGTCGAAGTGGCCGATGTTGCAGACGATGGCGTTGTTCTTCATCTTCTTCATGTGCTCAAGGGTGACGATCTTGAAGTTGCCTGTGGCAGAGGTGAAGATGTCCACCTCACCCACACACTCCTCCAGGGTGACGACCTGGAAGCCCTCCATGCACGCCTGCAGCGCGCAGATGGGGTCGATCTCCGTGATGAGCACCCGGGCACCGGCGCCGCGCATGGCAAAGGCGCAGCCCTTTCCGACATCTCCGTAACCAGCGACGAGGGCACGCTTGCCCCCAATCATCACATCCGTGGCTCGCATGATGCTGTCTGGAAGCGAGTGACGGCAGCCGTACACGTTGTCAAACTTGCTCTTGGTCACGCAGTCCTTATTTAAAAAACTCCGGAAAATCTATTGGGTAAGACAGCACTATATATCTGGAATAGGGACGTCTACAGAAACATGAAGCAAAAACAGCTTCCAATTTTGATCGCCGTCGTTGACGTTGATGGCCGGGAAGAGGAGCTCGCCCTTGGCTGCCATCTCACGCAGCCGATGCACTCCGGTAGTCGTCTCCTCGCTGACACCTTTGCACTTGGCGGCCATGCGGGAGTACTTGGTCTTGTCTGCCTGGGTTTTGAAGTAGCCAGGGAGAAGAAAGTATAGATTTTTTTGTTCATAATTGGTTCCCTTTAAGTAACAGGTCCCAAAAAAGTATTAAAGTATTGTACTCCGAAGCCCAGCTGCTTGAATGGAATCCTTCAGCAGCTGCAGGACGCACTTGAACTCTGCGTTGGTGGTGCTGGCAGGATCCGGCAGGCTGCCGTCCTTGGCGAACTTCTCCTCGTACTCCTTGCCCTTGTGGATCAGGAGAGTTGCATCGCCGCCGTCGTCCACCAGCTGGTCGCAGCCGTCAGCTCCCGGCACTGTCATCATCTGCTCGGTGCACCACCAGTACTCCGGAAGGGTCTCTCCCTTCCAGGCGAAGACGGTGGCGGTGCCTGCCTTGGCAATGCCTGCAGCGGCGTGGTCCTGCGTGCTGAAGATGTTGCAGGAGCACCAGCGCACCTTGGCGCCAAGGGCAGCCAAGGTCTCGATCAAGACACCCGTCTGGATGGTCATGTGCAGGGAGCCGTTGATGTTCATGCCCTTGAAAGGCTGAGAGGGGCCGAACTCCTTGCGTGCCGCCATCAGGCCGGGCATCTCATGCTCCGCCAAGGTCAGCTCCTTGCGGCCGAACTCGGCCAAGCCCATGTCCTTCACCTGCAGAGGGGAAGGGAGGCGGGGGAGGCGTGCTACTTTAAGCTTCCGTTGAGAGTACCTATACGCGTTTAGAGAGCGGAGGATAAGAATCAAATCATCTTTCATTGCCGAAAGCTCAACCCCTAGGTTCCATGTTATGCAATGGGAAACCCCACTTAAACTCATGGTTGGCTTTAAGAACTCCTGAACCCCTAAACCCTAAAAGCTCTAGGACCCTGTAGTTAAATCCTATGGTAGCCCAAAACCCTCTGACCCCTATAAACCCTTGAGCCCTACTTAGAGGATCATGGGACCTAGTAAGTAAGGTTATGGGTACCTTAATTGGGGTTATATGTATAGCTACCCTATTTTATCCCTAGTTACCAAGTCCCATGATCCTTTAAGTAAGCGAAATCTCGCCTTGGAGTCCGCCATGATCCAAAACGGGCACTGCTGGAAGGTGGGCTGAAACTCGGCAAAATGCTCGTGAGGATCACGGTTTTCCGACCATGGGTTTAGAGTCAATAGGGTTTGGGGTTTAGCGATTTAGGATTTAGGGTAAAAGGTTGGGTTTATAGGGTTCGGGTATGTTGGATTTAGGGTTTAGGTGTTGAGGTTAGGGCTTGTAGGGTTTAGGACTCATGGCTTCGGGCGTAAGGCTTAGGGTGTAGGGTTTAGGGCTCAGGGTTTCGGGTTTAGGCTCCCGGGGTGCTTGGCGAGGAATGTCAATGAAGGATTGATAGTCTAGTTAGAGTCAGGAGCCCTAAGGAATAACATAGGTAACTATTTAGGCCCCAGTCTAAACCTCTCTATATCGATATATACATAAGTGTATATACATATACATATACATATACTACATCTACATTTACATATACATATACATATGCGTATACGTATACATAAACATATACATATACATATACATATACATATATATATATATATACATACATATACATATACATATACATATACATATACATATACATATACATATACAAAAACATATACATATACATATACATATACATATACATATACGCATACATATACATATACATATACATATACATAAACATATACATATGCATAAACATACACATATACATATACATAAACATAAACATAAACATAAACATAAACATATACATATACATATACATAAACATATACATACACATATACATATACATGTACATATACATGTACATGTACATATACATATACATATACATATACATGTACATATACATATTTACTTATATATATATATATATATATATATATATATATATTAATTATGACAGATCTCATAAGCCCTGACAATTCGAGACGCCTTTTTCGAGGACGCCGGTCGCCTGATTCCTTTGGGAGGGCGGCGGCAGAAGGCATTAAGAGCTGTGGAACTCCTAGTCCCAGGATCGATCATAAGGGTCTTTGAGGGTTTAGGGTTTAGGGGTTTGGGGTTTAGGGTTTAGGGTTTAGGGGTTCCTTTAGAGAGGGAGCTATAGTGAGGTTATTTTAGAGGGTCTTTTAAGGCTTAGGGTTTAGGGGTTTGGGGTTTAGTGCTTCTTGAAGAGATTGGGGTTTCAGGTTTCATAAAGGATGTAGTTGTTGTTTTAAGGGCTTAGGGTTTCTGATCAATCTATAGGGTTTAGGGGTGTAGGGTTTCTTAAAGGTCGTAGGGTTTCTGATCAATCTTTTGAGGGGCCCTGAACCCCAAACCCTAAACCGGGTCCCGGGATCAGACGTCTTTTGAGGGTTCGGGAAGCATCGGAAGCACAGCTGCGAAGGTTGCTCTTGGTCCTGATCAGGAAAAAGATGGGAGACGAGTATGTGTGAAGCGAGCCCAACGAGGAGGAGGAGGGGGAGGAGCAGGAGGAGGAGGAGGAGGAGGAGGAGGAGGCGGAGGAGGAGGAGGAGGAGGATAGCGATGATGTAAGTTCAGGGCTCACGGCACTACCCGAAAGTGGAGGGGATGGGTCTTGAGCTGACGTCACTATAGTCAGTCACTATAGGACTCAGAGAGCCGAGGGCAAGTGCGAGCCGCTGCTCATGGCAGGCTCTGGCGCCGATCACGGGTCTGGTCGGAGCTTCGTGCTACGAGCTCTTCGAAGCCGAGTTTGAGGGCATTATCGGGTTTAGGGTTGCAGGAGCATCGGGTTTAGCATAGTGCCCCGCAGTGTTCCACAAACTTGATAGTGCTGTCACACCTGATCTCCATGGAGACTTATTGCGAGTGAGAGACTAGGCTCCTGTCGTAGCTTTGCAATTGCACGTTTTCCAAGGCTACATTTCCAATATGGGATTCGAGGCTTCGTCGAAACTCGTAATGCCGTCATGCAAAGCGGCAGGCTAAAACAAAGAAGTCGCTTTAAAATGGCCGAGAGTCGGTCCAGGATGACACGCGAGAAGCTGCCCTTTAGTTTCCCTCACATCAGATTTGCTGGTGCAACCTAAAGCATTGGCTTGCAGGCACAAGCCCTATGGCCGGCATGGCTTGTTGCCGTTGAAGTTGACAGCACGACAACTTCGCCGACGATGACTTGGTAAGATTCCTGATGCACCGACTCTACCACGACAACATTGCGACGACTGCCTCTACCACGACGAGAATGACGACGGTCTCCTCGACAGATATCACGTAAGCGACAGCTGTGGCAATCACCAGCGCCCCCCCCCCCCCGAGTGTGGCTTAAACCGGGTCTATTTGGCAGCTGGATGTGTGTGTATTGGCAGGACTCCACGCGCCAGCTGCCAAATAGACCCCATGTGGTGTTCCAGCGCGCCTGGACCCCGGGAATTAAATAATTTAAATCCGGGGGCCTCCCCCGTATTTAAATTATTTAATTGGGGCCAGGAATTAAATAACTTAAATAATTTAAATAATTTAAATAATTTAAATCCTGGGGGAGGGGGGTCCGGGGAGGGGCGGGGCCATGAATTAAATAATTTAAATAATTTAAATCCGGGGGAATCTGCCGGGGCCGGGAATTAAATAATTTAAATAATTTAAAATAATTTAAATAATTTAAATCCTGGGGGAGGGGGGTCTGGGGGAGGGGCGGGGCCGGGAATTAAATAATTTAAATAATTTAAATACGGGGGCCTCGCCCGTATTTAAATTATTTAATTCCCGCGGGGGGGTCCGGACCCGCCCGCCCCGGACCCCCTCCCTCAGGATTTAAATTATTTAAATTATTTAAATTAAATTATTTAAATTATTTAATTGGGGCCGGGAATTAAATAATTTAAATAATTTAAATCCGGAGGCCTCGCCCGTATTTAAATTATTTAATTGGGGCCGGGAATTAAATAATTTAAATAATTTAAATCCGGGGGCCTCCCCCGTATTTAAATTATTTAATTGGGGCCGGGAATTAAATAATTTAAATAATTTAAATAATTTAAATAATTTAAATCCTGGGGGAGGGGGGTCTGGGGGAGGGGCGGGGCCGGGAATTAAATAATTTAAATAATTTAAATCCGGGGGCCTCGCCCGTATTTAAATTATTTAATTGGGGCCGGGAATTAAATAATTTAAATAATTTAAATCCGGGGGCCTCCCCCGTATTTAAATTATTTAATTGGGGCCGGGAATTAAATAATTTAAATATTTAAATAATTTAAATAATTTAAATAATTTAAATCCTGGGGGAGGGGGGTCTGGGGGAGGGGCGGGGCCGGGAATTAAATAATTTAAATAATTTAAATCCGGGGGCCTCGCCCGTATTTAAATTATTTAATTCCCGCGGGGGGGTCCGGACCCGCCCGCCCCGGACCCCCTCCCTCAGGATTTAAATTATTTAAATTATTTAAATTATTTAATTGGGGCCGGGAATTAAATAATTTAAATAATTTAAATCCGGAGGCCTCGCCCGTATTTAAATTATTTAATTGGGGCCGGGAATTAAATAATTTAAATAATTTAAATCCGGGGGCCTCCCCCGTATTTAAATTATTTAATTGGGGCCGGGAATTTAAATAAAAATAATTTAAATAATTTAAATAATTTAAATAATTTAAATCCTGGGGGAGGGGGGTCTGGGGGAGGGGCGGGGCCGGGAATTAAATAATTTAAATAATTTAAATCCGGGGGCCTCGCCCGTATTTAAATTATTTAATTCCCGCGGGGGGGTCCGGACCCGCCCGCCCCGGACCCCCTCCCTCAGGATTTAAATTATTTAAATTATTTAAATTATTTAAATTATTTAATTGGGGCCGGGAATTAAATAATTTAAATAATTTAAATCCGGAGGCCTCGCCCGTATTTAAATTATTTAATTGGGGCCGGGAATTAAATAATTTAAATAATTTAAATCCGGGGGCCTCCCCCGTATTTAAATTATTTAATTGGGGCCGGGAATTAAATAATTTAAATAATTTAAATAATTTAAATAATTTAAATAATTTAAATCCTGGGGGAGGGGGGTCTGGGGGAGGGGCGGGGCCGGGAATTAAATAATTTAAATAATTTAAATCCGGGGGCCTCGCCCGTATTTAAATTATTTAATTCCCGCGGGGGGGTCCGGACCCGCCCGCCCCACCCCCTCCCTCAGGATTTAAATTGTTTAAATTATGTAAATTATTTAAACTATTTAAATTATTTAAATTATTTAATTGGGGCCGGGAATTAAACCCTCCCACCACCCTCTCACCCACCACTTCAAGGGCTAGGGATCCCACACATCTGCGGGCAAAATCTGGCGGAAGTGATCCGCCACCGAGCAAAAAGCCTGTAAATACCGCATTCAACAAAGGGCCAGGGATTTCACACATCTGTTGGCAAAATCTGGCGGAAGTGAGCAGTCGGTACCTCCGCCAGATTTTGCCAACAGATGTGTGAAATCCCTGGCCCTTTGTTTAATGCGGTATTTACAGGCTTTTTGCTCGGTGGCGGATCACTTCCGCCAGATTTTGCCCGCAGATGTGTGAGATCCCTGGCCGTTGTTTTAACGCGGTATTTACAGGCGTTCTGCTCGGTCGCGGCTCGCAGGGATGAGGGGGAC